CCACACTGTCTGCGTGGGGTAATCAACCATTAACACATTTGGCACATCATTGTCACAGTGTTCAGCCTCACAGCAACCACAAGTGACCATGGTATGGTGAGTGGACACACCAGGGATACATGACCTAGAGGAATGTTTGACCAAAAACAATGAAATACAGACCCAAGGGCTGGCTATATATAGTACATTGTCTTTATTGTTAGGAGAGAGTCCTGGTTGTTTAGTGACTAAGGAATTGTGCTGTCAACACAAAGATGAAAGTTCGAATTCACTAGTTGCTCTGTGGGAGAAAGAAAATCTCCTCTAGTGCAACTTACTGCTTCTGAAAATCTACTAGAGGGTTAGTTATGACAGTTCTGACTCAACTAACAACAACAACATATTGTCAGGAGTCTCTATACACTGGTGAACAGGAAAGAAAGAATCATTTTCTTCATGGGGGTTCTGTTTTAGTAGGGGTTTTTCCATAATACATATTAAAGTAACTGAAACCTAAACCTGCTTATCAACTTATTTGATAAAATATCTTTCTATCAGCTTTAAAGAAAGCATTATATATACATATATATGTGAAATATTTTGAGTCTCATATCTATTAAATAAAGAAATTTTCTAATGAACCTTAAATTACATGAAACTCTGAGAAAACAAATACTACATCCTGGGTATATATGTATGGTGAAGGTGGTGTTGTGTACCATTGTTAGAACCAACCCACAGCTGGCTCTCCAGCAGGTTTGCAGAGGCAGTAATTGCACAAAAGGCAATTGCTCATTCTTCCATGGAGCAGCTAGCAGATTTGAACCATGTGCCTTGGGGACTGCAGCTCAGATTCTTACCAATAGGCCACCAAATCTGCACGTGTGTGTGTGTGTGTGTGTGTGTGTGTGTGTGTGTGTGTGTGTATGAAATAATTAAATAATTTTTAAATTCTTCAACTCATACCTGCCTCTCCAGTGGGTTTTCAGAGGTAATTCATCACATGGGAGGAGATTGCTCATCTTTTTCCCAGGTGGTGAGTTCAGACCACTTTCCTTTGTGTTTTAGACTGACAGCACAAGTCACTACCACTAGGTCACCAGAACTAACACTCTGTCTCTCATGAAACTCTGGTGACCTAAGGTAAGGGATTGTATTGCAAACTCTAAGACAGGTGATTTTAATTCATCTCCTGCTCTACGGGAGAAAGATGGGTATCTCCTTTTACCAGCTCCCTGCAAATTATAATTAAAATACAATTACTCATCTTCCAAGGAGAAATATGTACCATCCTCTGCTATGTGATTTGTAGCCTCTGAAAACCCTTTGAAAGGCCAGCTATGAGTTTGGTCTGACTCGATGGTACATAACAACAACAACAACAACTTATATACACGCAAATATATATAAATGTGTGTATATACAAATATATATAAACTCAAACTCATTGCCCTGGAGTTAGAATAGACTCATTGCTAACCTTCTAGCTAATTTCCCAGGTTGTAAATTGCAAGGTAGAAGATTCACTAGAAGCCACTGGTGTGCTTATATAAATACATGTATGTATATATATTTATGTGTATTTATAAATATTTTATCCAAGTATTTATACTTCTCTGTTCTGTTGTACAGAGAATGTATCTATGTACAACAGAACACATTTAGATAAGAGAAATGGCAAAGGAGGTTTAGTTTTCAAGCATGGAAATACAAAG